ATTTTTTTTTGCCACTTCTATTTATTTATTAATTTTTACGATTTTTCAATTAAAATTAACTGTTTATTCCCTAACAAATACCATATAAACCTAAGATTAAGATTTTGAAGAACACTTAAATAAAAAATTCATCAAAATTTCAAACTTGTTCTCATTTTTATTGCCCATTAAATTATCGTTGATTTTTACACTGCTATTTTTTGGAATTTTATTGCCGAAGGTGTGTAGCGCTGCCATTGAATTTCAGAATATAGGAAAGGGGACAACTATAAGTAAAATGGTAAATGGGATACGAAAAGTTGGGGTACTTAGGCGTGTTTGGTAAATAATCGGGGAGGTACCTAAGAGACGGATTTTCTTCTGATCACATTAAAAAAAAGCCGTGAGTACTAGGTACTCATGATACCATACAAGTACGTTTATATATAAATATGAACTCAATAAAAGCTTGTTAGTTGTTTAAATGGTTGTGCTTGTTATTCTCACAACTCGAAGAAAAGTTAAGCTTTTTCTCTGTGCCACCGTGGTCACTTTTTTCCGCCCCACATATTATGATATTTAAATATATTTTAACTTAATATTTTATTAAAAATAACTTTACTTCTTTTCCTTGCTAGCGTCAATTTTACTTTTACCTTTGACATTCCTCCTCTTCTTCGCAAGTATAATCGATTAAACTTTGTTGGACACCAAAAATTTATTGGTTTGATCTGAGATTATTTTTCTAATTACAAATAACGGAGTTAAGAGCGAAATTGAGGATAAAATTTCATATGTAAACCTATTATTAAGGGATTCAGTTACGTACATACATATGTAGGTTAGGATAAAAAATAAACTTTAAAGTTCACTTAATTTTATACATTTTGCTGATTTAAATTATTTTCATTTTTAATTCCTTTAATACATAAAATTGTCGGTATGATTGATAAAATATTACACTATTATTTGTGACTCAAGGGCGTTAAAATATCTTGAAAACACCGCATCAATTACTGTTTTGAGCTTGTAGTTTGAGCATTTCTATATGTATATATTCCTGAATTTAGTTATTCTTTTAGAAATTTAATCTGCTGTTCTGCTTCATCTGTCGCTAGGTTTACGTTAAAGCCATGAATACATATGTATTTTGTTTGCAAAATGGGAAACTAAATTAATTTCTTCGGCTTTTTCTATTACTCTCGTCTTCTCTTTGTGCAACCTTGTATTAGCTCTGATCCAGTACTGAATGAACTTATAGGTTTTTACATGAACTTGCAGGAAGTTACGGAAAAAAATGATCGCGTACTCCAAAATCCTGTAATGAGAGCGATTTTTGGAGGGTTGTGTAGAAAATGATGTTGCAAGATTTTACTCGATGCTTTTTTTGTTCCCGTACTTTTTTCTGTTACTCACTTTTTACTCTCACATTATAGAGTAATTTTGCTGCTTGACGTTTTAACAGGATTTAACACGAAAAGTATTGGATCAGAGCTATTATATCATCCATATACAGGGTGTCCCATAAGTAACGTGCCAAAATTTAGGGGAAGGTAGGTGGGGGGGGGTGTGCTCCCTGATAAACAAAAAATTTTCAGGTAAAAGTGTCACCGTTTTTGAAATATTTACATTTTTTCGAATTTAAAAAAAATCGTGCCTTTTCATGTGTTTTCTTTAACTGCAACTACAAACCGGGCAATACTTAGTAAATTTTTTATGTAAAATACTTCCAGATAGTTGCCTCTCCATACTCAAATGCAAT